ATGATGTTGAAGAATATGGGTAAACTCTTTACCAATTGAAGAGAATCAACTATGTAGTCATATGTAGTCATATGGTCATGAATAGTCATATAAGAGATTTGTACGAATTTACACATGTGATTTTTTGGATATATATTGTGTGATACAAGTTGACTTGTGATAACATGAATCGATTTTTTTTATGTGAATGTTGATTGGATATATTTCGTATATAATAATCATTTTTTTTATATAATTTGATAGATATGAATGACGGTACTACACCAACCATCTTTATTATTCTAGGTTCAGAGGTTATATTTCTTTCGCTAATAAGTCTATCCCTTTAATATGTATCATAAATATAGGCAAATTTAATGTATATGATAAAATTACATCCAACCCTTTAAACTCAATTTCTAATTGTAACTCCAAATTTAACTTCAATTTCATCAATTTTGAAAACAAAAATCTAATTTTGACTTTTTCTTTTTAGATTTTTTTAATGCCAATTTTTAACGTTGACTTTTCTTTTTCTTTTCGGTCTGTTTTTTTTTTGCAATCGGTTTCTGCGTTGACTTTTCCCGGGTTTTTCCTTTTTTTTACGTCGCCGTTCCAAGGAGCTTACCGGCGGTCAGCCTCAGTTTCAAATGCTGACTTTGTTTTTTTTCTAAAATTTTTATCCATTTTTTTTACGTCCGGTGCAGAACGTTAACCGTAATTGTACTGTCGTTGATAATACTATTAATGTAAACACAATATGTCAACAACATCAACACATATATATATATATATATATATATATATATATATATATATATATATATATATATATATATATATATATATATATATATATATATATATATATATATATATATATATATATATATATATATATATATATATATATATATATATATATATATATATAATATATATATATATATAATAGTGTATGAGATATTGAGAGATAGATAGAAAGAGAAAAAGAAAAAGAGAGAGAAAGAGAGATAGAGAGAGAGAGAGAGAG